TAAAGCCAATGAAAAGTACAATTTTAGTAACTGAATTTCTCAAGTATTTGCAGAGAAGATAAATTTGCACACTTATAAATTAGACACTTCAAACATTCTTTTATGAGGAACCTGTGTTTTGTGAGGTAATTTCCTTAGATGTTTCAGTATCATGGATTTTGCTGTTGTCAGCCTGTCTTTTTGTTACTACATGGTTGTTATGGGCCAAAATCTTATATTCACTTATTTTTTCTAGGTTAGCCAGCTGCCTATCTTCATATATAAAACATATCCTACTTCACAACTGCTGTGTTATGTGGGCTTATTTATTTTTAGTTTTGTTAAGTGGCAGAGAGACAGACAGACAGCTAGAGCTTCCATGGTTTGATTTACTTCCCAAATGTCTGCAATGGCTCAAGCTAGACCAGACCTAAACTGGGAGCTAGGAGCTCAATCCAGATCTACCATGTGGGTGGCATGGACCCAACTTCTGAGCCATCACTTGTTGCCTTCTAGAGTGTGCATTAGTAGGAAACTGGAGTCAGGAGCCAGAGCTGGGTATTTAAACCAAGAACTTCTAAATGTAACACAAGGTCTTTAATCAGTATCTTAACTGCTAGGCTTACTTATTTATAGTATACAAGTACTAGTGGAATTAAGTAGAGCTATATATTTCATGATACAGAAAGATAAATGATGTATCTGTAGGGCACAAAGTGAATGTGAAAGCTTGAAGGAGACAATGCAAATTTCCAGAAACCTGTAAATAATTCCTTATAGTAGAATTGAAATTGACCAACTACACATGGGCCAAATCTAATATGACACTTGTTTTTGAAATAAATATGTATGTAACACAAATATGCTCTTTCATATACATGTTGTCTATGACTATTTTCAGTCTATAGTGGTGGAGTTGAGCAGTCGTGACACAGCGAACACAAAGCCTAAAATATTATTCCTTGACCATTGCTAAAATATTTGCTCATCTTTGCCATGCAACTAAAGATTATATTTTCTTTTTTTAAAAGATTTATTTATTTGAAAGTCAGAGTTACACAAAGAGAGGAGAGGCAGAGAGAGAAAGACAGAGGTCTTCCGTCTGATGGTTCACTCCCCAATTGTCTCCAACGGACAGAGCTGCGCAAATCCGAAGCCAGGGGCCAGGAGCTTCTTTCGGGTCTCCCACGTGGGTGCAGGGGCCCAAGGACTTGGGCCATCCTCTACTGCTTTCCCAGGCATTAGCAGAGAGCTGTATTGGAAGTGGAGAGGCTGGGTCTCGAACCAGCGTCCATATGGGATGCCGGCGTTTCAAGCCAGGGCATTAACCCGCTGTACCACAGTGCTAGCCCCGATAGAATAATTTTTAAAACTTATTTTTTTGAGCAAATGAGGGGGAGAGAGAGACAGAGAGAGAGAGTTGTTCCGTTTGTTGGTTTACTTCCCAAATATCTGCAGCAGCTGGGACTGGATCATGTCAAAGTGAGCCTGGAATTCATTGTGGTTTTCCCAATGGGCCATCACCAATTGCCTTCCAGACTGCAAATTAACAGGAAGCTGGCATTTGGAATGGAGTCACAATTCAAATCAGACAAGCTGATATGGCCTGTGGGCATCCCAAATGGCATTTTAACTGCTGAGCCAAATGCCCACCCCTGGAGATAGCATTATAATGTTCCCTTCATAAGATTAGAAATAATCTGATGGTTGCAAATCTTACCTGTTTCACTCTTTAGAAGATGCAGTGGCAGCATAGCCCAAACAAGAGCATATGACTTGTTAGGAAAGGGAGAGATTCCATTATCATTATTTATAACTGAATTTCTGTTGTATTAACTGCCACCCCAAAAGAAAAGTGACTACTTGTTTTTTTTTTTAATATTTATTTATTTATTTGAAAGTCAGAGTTACACAGAGAGAGAAGGAGAGGCAGAGAGAGAGAGAGAGAGACAGAGAGACAGAGAGACAGAGAGAGAGAGAGAATCTTCCACCCACTGTTTCACTCCCCAGATGGCTACAACTACTGGAGCTGTGCCAATCTGAAGCCAGGAGCTAGGAGCTCCTTATGGGTCTCCCATGCATGTGTAGGGGCCCAAGGAGATGGGCCATCTTCTACTGCTTTCCCAGGCCATAACAGAGAGCTGGTTTGGAAGTGGAGCAACTGGGACTTGAATTGGCCCCTAAATGGGATGCTGGCACTGCAGGCGGCAGCTTTACTCACTACACCACAGTGACGGCCCCAACTACTTGTTTTTGATGTGTTTTCTTTGTAGTAAAAAAATGGAGTATTTTGTTCATCTTGATATCAATGATTTGAAATTTTTATTACAATTTTGAGTAAACCATTTCCAAGTTATTTTTCTTTTAATTTTTTTACATCTGTATTTTCCTTTTCTATCTGTAACAGTATTACCATTTATCGCTTGGCTTAGCTGTTCTTTCCTTCTCCTTCTATATGTTTCTTGTGTACATCTGACACTTAATATGCACCAATAGGGGTAATATATTGTAGGGAAATGCATTTATGTTAAAAATACCTATAGTTACTCAACATACACATGTACTAATTCAATTCAGTTCAATCGATTCACTGCTTTCAACTGTTAACCAGGCACCTGATTTTGTGAATGCAAAGTCCCAACTCATCATTATTATTTGTCTATGTGATTTGATTTGACATTACAAAACTGGGTCAATAATGTTGTAGGATTGTTTATATAAATCTTCACAATTTGGGGGTAACTAGAATAAAATGTCCAAAGACTTGTTCTGCCAATTCCCCAGAATATTGTAATGTTAAAGCCTTAATGCTTAATTGTATTCAAGTGAGTAAAAAATGAAAGTTCCTAGCATCTGTAAATTGCCCTAGATTGACATTAATCATGATATCTGCTTTAGTTATGTAACTATTACAGTAGCAAAAGGCTAATTTTAATAAAATACATCATTGTACAAGCTCCCTCCTTACTCACCCTGACAAATACTTTGAGTATAATTCTTCTCCATGAAAACCAGTGTTTCTGTAATGATCCTAGAGAGGTGTGGGCAAAATCATTTCAAATTCTGGTGGAATGAGTGAAAACCACCAATTACTTCAGGAACAGAACTCAAGATAAATACATGGATAAGAAAAAAAAAGCCATTTTTCCTAATCTGACGACATGGAGGATTGAAAGTCTATTAGAAGACAGATTGGGATCACTTTTCAGTTAAAATTTAAACACCTAAGAATAACTGTGTCTTAATTACAGAGTTCAACCGATAGTACTAGAACAAAAAAATACTAAAAGGGATAAAGTATTACATTGTATTTCAACATTCAGGACAAGGGCTGATCAAGTCACTGTTTCTCATAGTGTCCATTTCATTTCAACAGGTTTCCCCTTTGGTGCTCGGTTAGTTGTCACTGATCAGGGAGAACATACGATATTTGTCACTTTGGGACTAGCTTAATTCACTCAGTATAATGTTTTCCAGATTCCTCCATCTTGTTGAAATGACCGGGTTTCATTGTTTTTGACTGCTGTATAGTATTCTATAGAGTACATGTCCCATAATTTCTTTCTCCAGTCTACTGTTGATGGGCATTTGGGTTGGTTCCAGGTCTTAGCTATTGTGAATTGAGCTGCAGTAAACATTAATGTGCAGACAGCTTTTTTGTTTGCCAATTTAATTTCCTTTGGGTAAATTCCAAGGAGTGGGATGGCTGGGTTGTATGGTAGGGTTATATTCAGGTTTCTGAGGAATCTCCAGACTGACTTCCATAGTGGCTTAACCAGTTTGCATTCCCACCAACAGTGGGTTAGTGTCCCTTTTTCCCCACATCCTTGCCATCATCTGTTGTTGGTAGATTTCTGAGTGTGAGCCATTCTAACCAGGGTGAGGTTAGGGAGGAGATGTACAATTTGGGACATGCTCAATCGGACTTGCCCCAAATGGTGGAGTTAGATACGTGCCAGGGGATTCCCATACAATCCCATCAGGGTTGCATGTACCAATGACATCTCACTAGTCCAAGTGATCAATTTCAGTTCACAATTGATCACACTGATAGGTCTAAGAGTCAAAGGGATCACATAAACAAGACTAGTGTCTGCTAATACTAACTGATAGAATCAAAAAGGGAGAGAACGATCCATCATGGGAAGCGGGATACACAGCAGACTCATAGAATGGCAGATGTCCTAAATAGCACTCTGGCCTCAAAATCAGCCCTTAAGGCATTCGGATCTGGCTGAAGAGACCATGAGAGTATTTTAGGCATGGAAAGCCAAGACACTCTGGGGAAAAAAAAAAAAAAAACAAAAACAAAACCTAAATGAAAGATCTCTGCGAGTGAGATCTCAGTGGAAAAAACGGGGCCATCAAAGAGGAGGTACTTTTCTCTGAAGGGAGGAGAGAACTTCCACTTTGACTATGACCCTGTCAGAATAAGATCAAAGTCAGTGAACTCAAAAGGCTTCCATAGCCTTGGCAACTCATGACTAGAGCCTAGGGAGATTACTGACGCCATAAACAAGAGGGTCAAATTGTTAAGTCAATAACAGGAGTCACTGTGTACTTACTTCTCATGTGGGATCTGTCCTTAATGTGTTGTCCAATGTGAAGTAATGCTATAACTAGTACTGAAACAGTGTTTTACACTTTGTATTTCTGTGTGAGTGCAAACTGATGAAATCTTTACTTAATATATACTGAATCGATCTTCTGTATATAAAGAGAATTGAAAATGAATCTTGATGTGAATGGAATAGGAGAGGGAGTGGGAAATGGGAAGGGTGTGAGTGAGAGGGAAATTATGGGGGGGGGGGCAAAGCCAATGTAATCCATAAACTGTATTTTTGAAATTTATATTTACTAAATAAAAAAAGAGAAAAAAAAAGACAGATTAGAATACAGCAAAATGAAAGCTACCAGTGTTCAGTCAATTAGGGTTACTTGTGGTTGCATAAGATGGAAATCTCACAAATTACTAGGGTTTAAACAGACAGAAATTTATTTTTACTTCATTTAAAATCTAGGTGATCCGGAGGAGGATGGTGGCTGGAAGATCCAAATCCTTCTCTCTGCTCTTCAAGTCTGCTTCTGGGATCTCTTCTCAAGGCCCCCTGTGGCAGGAGCTTCAGTCATCAAGGGGGCATTCCAGGCAACAGGAAGCAGGAAGCAGGGAAGGTGAACAAAACACATCACAATTTCAATGTAAATTGAAGCCCTGCTATTCATGGGTAGTTGGAGATGGAAACTGGAAGCCAGCTAGAAATCTCTAAGAGCCTCTTGAAGAAGTGCCTTTTCTCTTCTTCCTTCATGTGCTTTAAAATGTGCTATGAACACATACAACCATAAATGTAGTAAAAGCATTCACTGATAATCCATAGGGTGAGATGACTCTAGTGAAAATAGACAAAGAAAGAGAAGTCCTGATCTGATAAAAAGTCCTGTTGGTGGTGGTGAAAATTCCTGGAAAAATTCCAAAGGATGGTAATCCATATTTTATAGCTGTTACTGTATCAGAAATGGTAATCAAAATCTTTGTGTAAGAAGGGGAATGGATAAATATACAATTAAACTTCAGCTTCAGTTGGAAGATGATTATTGCCCCAAACCAACCCAAAGGCAAAAAGATTTTTAGAAAATGTGAATCCAGGGGCCGGTTCTGTGGCATAGCAGGTAAGGCCTCCACCTGCAGTGCCAGCAACCCATATGTGTGCCAGTTGAAGTCCCCGCTACTCTACTTCCAATCCAACTCTCTGCTATGGCCTGGGAAAGTAGTAGAAGATGGGCCAAGTCCTTGGGCACCTGCACCCACGTGGGAGACCAGGAAGAAGCTCCCAGCTCCTGGCTTCAGATCGGCATAGCTCTGGCTGTTGTGGCCATCTGGGGAGTGAACCAGCAGATGGAAGACCTCTTTCTCTGTCTCTGCCTCTCTATAACTCTGCCTTTCAAATAAATAAATAAATAAACAAACAAATAAATAAAATATTTTTTTTAAAAAAAGACTATAAAAATGTTTTTAAAAAAAGAAAATGTGAATCCATTCCTAGACAATATATCCAAAAATGTTAGAATAAAAAAGAATTTTCCTTTATATTCTGACACCTACGACTATAGCTATCACTAGAGACATAAACCCTGGCAGTTTTATTTGAAGTGAGAGAGAATTAGGTGCTGATGTTTATTTTTATAGAACAGGGAGATAGGGATCTAGAAAATAAAGCAACACCTGTGTGTTCCTACCACTAGGTCTGTCTGAGGGATAAGAAATGGGAGGGAGGGAAATAGGGGCGGTGAATGATCCTTATCAATCCCAAGGCATCCTTTTATGATCCTGCGTTTTCTGTGAAATCTGCATTTGTCTGAGAGTGTCTCTCCTTAAATATTTTTGGGTATGAGCTTCCAGATTCCTTTTCAAAATCATGTTTACAGCGATCAGCCAGATTTCAATGAAGGCCTTTGCTTTATGTAAAGGGTAAAGTAGAGCTTAAATGAATATAAGGTAATTTTTTTTATTTTTCATGAAGAAAACAAAAAGTCCCACCATTGTCATAGCATAACTAAAGTAATGTGAAAGTTTTTTTAATCTTTTGTGCGACATAAATTAGGGAAATTCAATATGCTATTAAGAAGGGGTTTATTAAATAAGAGCTTCCAGGAGGGAAAAGTGTGACTCTTTTCCATGTGCCACTGATAATTTTAAGACATTTTGTTTTGGATCTCTGCCTATCTCAGTGTTTTACTTGATAACAAACCTCACTGAGTCAGTTCTTGGCAATTTCATAACAATGCATTTCATATTTACATCCAAGATCCATAAACCTAATTATCTCTTATGTTAATGTGAAAAGTAATGATAATAATGATGCCAATGACATTTAGTTCTTGGCTTAGATATCCTATGCATATGTTTCTTATTTACTTAACAGTAATGGACAAGTGCACAAGTCATCAGAGTGACCTCCTTCCATAGAGCTATTCGGAGACTCAGAAGCTCTGCCATCCTCAACAAATGGCTCCCCAGGTCACTGTGGGGGTCATTTCTGTCCCAGTCAGTCAGGGGATGAGTATGGAGTAGCACACAGGGGAGGGTTTTCTATGTCAAATGCTATTTGCTGGAGTCCAGATGCGGCTAATATAAAGCTGATCCTGACTGTTTTTTCTTCATATTTTTCTATTATTCCAAAAAGATGGAGTATCCCTGAAGTTAGATGCAATTATGGATAATTTATTCATAATTGAAAAGAGCTTTTCAATTTTAGAAGGTTAGAGAGGAAAATGGATATGATTTAAGTTTATAGATTTAATGCAAGCAAAAAGAAGTTGACTAAATCACAGACCACAGATGAGGATGCTGTCTTTGAGGACTGAAAGTGTTAATTAGAGCATGTAAAAGCAATAGAGTACTATTTTGGAGTAAATATAAGTGTTTTAACTACTATTGATTAAAACTATGTAACAACGGGCCGGCTCAATAGGCTAATCCTCCACCTGCGGCGCCGGCACCCAGGGTTCTAGTCCCGGTTGGGGCACCGGATTCTGTCCCAGTTGCCCCTCTTCCAGCCCAGCTCTCTGCTGTGGCCCGGGAAGGCAGTAGAGGATGGCCCAAGTCCTTGGGCCCTGTACCCGCATGGAGACCAGGAGAAACACCTGGCTCCTGGCTTCGTATCAGCACTGTGCGCCGGCCACAGAAGCCATTGCGGGGTGGACCAACGGAAAAGGAAGACCTTTCTCTCTGTCTCTCTCTCTCTCTCCACTCTGCCTGTCAAAAACAAACAAACAAACAAAAACAAAACAAAACAAAACAAACCACAAAAGAAACAAAAAACTACGTAACAGGGACTTACATAGCTTGATTTTATTTGATCTTTACAATGACTGTTCAAGATGGCTTAGTGTGGTGGTTAAATTCACAGGCTCTAGGGCCAAACTGCCTGGGCTTGAATTTCCACTTATTAGCTGGAAAATGTTGGTCAACCATTTAACCATTCTCTGATTCAGTTTCTTTATAAGATGGTCAACCATTTAACCATTCTCTGATTCAGTTTCTTTATAAGATGGAGACAGTAATAGCAACTGAATTCATAGAATTAATGTGAATATTAATGTATTAGTAGCATAAAACCCTTAGAGGCATGCATGGTGTATAATCAGTTTTCATTATTATTAATTCTCCATTTACATATTAAGATAATGTATTTTAGAAAGGGTCAGACACATTGCCAATTCACACAGCTACTAATAGATAGAACTGGCTGTGAAAAGGTATATCTATCCAAATCAGAATGCCTGTACTTCATACTATAGCAGGTCTAAAGTAAGCTATGGACTTAAAAGGAACTGGACTACCTATTTACTAGGGAAATTTGAAACATGCATGTTTCATTGTGATTAAAAGTAGGGAGAAACTATATTGTGAGTTCTAGAAATGCCTTTTATGGTGGCTAAGAATCAAGATTCTCAATTCAATATTGTATGACCTCGAGGGGATAATTTTCCTTTCTTTGCCTCAGTTTTGTAATAAGTAAACTCAGGGATAATAATAATATCCACCAGATCAACTGAGAGTTAACAATAAGGTATAAGCACTAAAGACATTTATTACCTTACTTTGTAGGATATCTAGTGATGTTTCAAAGGGTTAAGGACCTCAGGAAGGATCAAGGCTCTTTGCTTCTCTCTACGCTGTTGTCCCCTTATGTACATCCCACACCAGCACTAGACAAAGGACAATGGAATTAATATAATGGATTTAAACCAATCATATTTCACTCCCTGGAAAGAGGAAAAGCCACCTCCCCTACAACATGGTTGCCACTGAACTGAATCAAGATTTGCCTATGGAGAGTGCAGCTGAACTATAAGGGTTCTGTTACTGAGTATCTGGGAAGTGCTTAGCTTACTGCTCTGGCCTACAGTGAGTTCTCAATAAAGCTTAGCTTTGCCAATTCTCAGAGGCCGACATTCCAGAGGGTAATTTTGTGTTCTCATGAAACACAGACCTGCCTATTGTCTCAAAAGCAGAACAGAGCACTGAATTTGATGGATCACAGGCCTTATTCACACAAGTTTGGATGTTCTTACAGGATCCTTTGAACGGTAAACATCTCCACAGTTTAAAAACATTTGTATCTCGTATCCTGGACCAAAGGTAGGGACAATGAGGGAGTTGAACCAAGCTGCTTCAAGCCTCATCCTATGTGTTGAAGGGATTCATTCTGCAGTTCTCTTACATCAAGCTGTTTCACTTTGCTGGCAGAGAAAACTCCTTCAGCCCATGTTTGTTTTGAAGACAAGTGCTGTTCAGAATTCTACAGCTTTCCTTTCGTTTTTCCATTCACACTGCAACAGCTGGGAAGGAAGGAATGCCTGCTGAAATATTCAACCATCCATGGCCAGGATGATGGTGTGTGACAAATGACCCCAACTCACTGGCATTCAACAATGAGCATTTATTGTCATGCTCGTGGTCTGAAGGTTTGGGTTCTGTTAGGTCCAGGATGATTTCCCTTGGACTTTCTTCCAAGCTTCAGATTGTGCCTTGATCTGCCCCATATATCTCCTTGGATCACAGATTTTCTGAAGCATATTTATTTTATGGCAATGATAAGAAACCCAAGAGGGCAAGCCCAATCCTGTGAGCACATTCCAAAGCTTTGCTCATACCACATCTTCAAACATTTCATTGGCCAAAGCAAGTAATATGTTAAACATCAATGGGTTGATCAATACACAGTGTATCTAGTTGAAAATTACATGGTCACAGGGGCTGGCCCTGTGTTGCAGCAAGTTAAGGCCCTGGCCTGAAGCCCCAGCATCCCATATGGGCTGCTCCACTTCCGATCCAGCTTTCTGCTATGGCCTGGGAAGTCAGTAGAAGATGGCCCCTGAACCCACATGGAGATTTGAAGGAAGCTCCTGGCTCCTGGCTTCGGATCGGTGCCGCTCCAGCTGTTGCGGCCAACTGGGGAGTGAACCAGCGGATGGAAGACCTCTCCCTCTCTCCCTCTCTCTCTCTCTCTCTCTCTTCTCTCTGTGTAACTCTTTCAAATAAATAAATAAATCTTAAAAAAAGAGAAAACTATATGGTCACAAGGCAGAATATGTGGACACAGGGTGAGGAAAGGCACAGAGGATAATGATGCAATAAGCCAATCTAACTTCTTGTGTTGCTTACAGCCTATTTCTACTCCCCACCCCAAATTCCTTTTTTAGTAGGCACAGCCCTAGTGTATATTGCCTTCCTAGCCACTCTCATAACTAAAAACTATATGCCCTATAATCATTCAAGTGGATAAGAAAGAGACTGAGAGAAAAAATGGGAAAAGCTGGGTAACCTGGTAGAATCATTTGTGAAGACAATAAGAACTGGAGTCCCGGAAGCATAGATTTGTTACCATCTAAAGTGAAGAAACACAATGGGAGAATGAAAACGGTGCCTTCTGTGAGGTAACTATCACGCTACCGCCACCAGTGAGAGGGATTATGGATGGTGCAGTCAGGTTTTAGTTTAGGAATCAAAAAGAAATAAGCCAGTCTTTAATGAAGTTCTTGATAGGAAGTGGCTCCCAGAGATAGCAGGAGTCAGAGACCTTGCTCATCAGACTATCCACAGTGATTATAATAGTGCCTAGTATATAGCTGGTGATCAATAAATACACTGTGAATGTACTGAAATATTTAATAACAAATGTCTCCATTGGATATTTGATAATCTTCTGACCAAATTTATACACATTCCCTTGGAAACTCTAGTGGCACAGGACCAGGAGCAGAAAAACTTAAGAAGTCATGTCTTTGCTGAAGTCCTTGGCACAGTAGACTAAGCCTCTGCCTGGGGCACCAATCTGTGTCCCCGGCTCCTCTTCCGATCTAGCTCTCAGCTTGTGGCCTGGGAAAGCAGTGGAAGATGACCCAAGTACTTAGGCCCCTGCATCCCACTCCCTCCCGTGGTAGACCCAGAAGAAGCTCCTGGCTCCTGGCTTCTGGCTTCCGGTTGGCCCATTTGGGGAGTGAACCAGTGGATGGCAGACCTTTCTCTCTCTCCCTCTCTGTCTGTAACAGTACCTCTCAAACAAATAAATAAATCTTAGAAAAAAGAAATCATGTCTGTTTTTATCATTTTTCATAAGCTGTTTCTTATTTTTAAAGATAACACTTTTTTGAAATATGATTTACTTTCAATGAAAGACACTCATTTTCGGCGTCCAGTTTTGACTTTTGACAATGGGAGACACACACAATAAAGAACTTTTCCATCTTCTCAAAAAGTTCCGTGGTGCGCTCTTTCATGCCCACTTCCTGCCACGGGCAACTGCTGATCTGCCTTGTGTCTACATGGACTATCTTGCCTTTTCCAGAACTCTTAACAAATGGAATCACGCAGCACGCAGTCTATTCTCTCTACTAACCTTAAAGCCTGTATGATCCATCTGTGTTCTTGCACGCCCTTCCCTTTTTTTGTTGCGGAATAATATTCCATTGTTCCGGGATACCACAAGGTGTTTATCCATTGGACTGGCGGTTGACGTTTGCAGTTTCTAATTTGGGGCTATTATGAAGAACGCCACGACCATTGTTGTACATGTCTCTGCGGACACAGGCTTTCATTTCTCTCGGGCAAACACCTAGGAGCGGCATTTCGGGGTTGCGAGAAGTAAACGTTGAACTTCCGAAAAGAGACTGCTCTCCAAAGCATCTTTCTCATTTTTATACTCCCTCTAGCAGCGGAGGAGAGTTCCAGTTGCTCCACATCCTCTCCCTTGCATTATCCCTCTTTACAATTTTAATCTATTTTCCTTCTTTCTTCCCTGCTCCCTCCAGGAATGTTTGTTGACTGAGTTAAAAAAATTCCCTAGACCTGTTTCTAAGTGAGCAAGTTTCTATGAAAATCTCTGTCTCACACACTCAGAGAAGGCGGGGGAGGGGAGTCCTCCTCTGCCCCTTGGGAAACAACCTTGGGTTCCCTGAGGCAGGGCTTTCTCTCTGGAGCACAACTGAACCTACCCGTTTGCCCCCGCTTCAGCACCGCGCGCTGCGAACTCTCAGGCGCGCCCAGGTTGCACTGACAGCTCTCACTCCAAGCCTCTCAGCTGCTCTCTTCTCTGCTGCTGAAGAACCATTCTCTTCCCGAAAAGCTGTTTTGTGGCTGGCGCTGGAGAGCTCCAGGAAGAGCGAGAAGCTGGGGGGTTGTCTGTTCCCGCGCAACGGCCCCCTCCTCCCACCCGCTTAGGTTCCGAAGACGCTCCCGGGCTCACGCCAAGTTCCCTAGAAAACACCCCCTGCACGGCGCGGCTCCCGGACATCCCCGGCGCCCCGGCGACCCGGGCACGGGGCATGCTCAGAGGGCGCGCCGAGGCGCAGGCGTTGGCTGCAGTGGGGCCCGGGAACCGGGAGGTGCCGCTGCGTCCCCGCTTCCCGGCGTCTGACCCAGCGCGCAAAGTTGGGCTGGGAGCCGCGGGGGGAAGGAAGGACCGAGCGAGCAAGGGTGGCGGGGAAGGGGGGGCGGGAGGCGGAGGGAGGAGGGGAAGGAGCAGGGAGGGGGGGCGCCGAGCGTGTGTCACTCGCTCGCTCCCTCTGTGTACAGAGGATGTGCTGAATGGTGCGCTTTGAGGCGGCGGCGGCGGCGGAGGAGCAGGAACCAGCGGCGGCTGCCAACCTCGGCCGCCCAGCTCAGCTTCCTTGCTTCCGAGGCTCGGATCCACCCAGGGCTCCCGACCCCGTGTCCCGCCCGGGGCATGGCCCGGCGTTGCGCCCCCGCGCGCCCCGCCTGCTGAGCGGCGCCAGAGCGAGGTGCGGAGGCCAGGAGGCCGGGGGAGGCCGGCTGTGGAGCAGAGTCGAGCGGCTCCGGAGCAGAAAAAGGAACCCGCGCCCGGAGCCCCGCGCTCCGCGCCCCGTCCCTGCCGCGCTCGCCCGGGCCGCCCGGAGCCCCGATGAGCCCAGATGGCCGGGGCTCAACCCGGAGTGCACGCCTTGCAACTCAAGCCCGTGTGCGTGTCCGACAGCCTCAAGAAGGGCACCAAATTCGTCAAGTGGGATGATGTAAGTAGTGGGGCGGCCCGGCCCGGCTCGGGGCGCGGGCCGGGGCACCGGGCAGGGCGGGTGGCGTGGGGGTGGGGCGAGGGGCGCGTTATGCAATGGGCGCGCGGACAGCGGGCAGGGGCGGCATCGGGGCGCACAGGTTGGCATCTGCTGAGGCGATGGCAAGGAGCAGGCGCTTTGCGCGCGCTTCTGTCTCCTCCGGATTTAGTAGTTGACATCCCTGCTGGGTCCAACGGGCACCCACTGAAGATCTCCAGTCTTTGGGACCAGCGGGG